ATGTGCCACTCTCTTGCTGGAGACATCAGCCCGCAGCACTTCCTACAATTATGGGTATGGTCAGAGGGCTCCCCCTGCAGTTGCAGCCAACGGCAGTGGTAGACGAAGTGGTCAGCTTATGGGTGCAGCTGAGCCACCCAACACTGTTGAGCAGCCCAAAGGTCTGTACAAACTGAGTACTAATAGGTTCTCGTAATAACTTTCATTTGTCATTTTTAAAAATTGTGTATTCTTCCTGCGTTGCAGCTCAGGATAAAAAGTCTTCTGGACCTGCTATGTCTGCTTGGGGTATCATTGCTGTTATTATGACACTTTGCCTGTCTTTGATGGGGGTGTACTACTTCACCCTCTTTTATCCAATTTTATGCAAAAAGGAGCGCAAGTACGATGTTATGGACCTTGGCTCCCAATGAAGGTTTGTTTCGGTGGGTGAGTCGGATCAGTTGGCTGCTGAGAAGTTTTGACTTTACAACTGCAGGGCTTGGGAGTCAACTGTGCCCACCGCACTTCAGGATTTTGTATGTTTTGATTTGCCCGGAAAATTTTAATGTTAGCTGTAAATTCCTCCTTTGTGTGGTTGGATAAGCAGTTTTGAGTGGAGTTAATTTAAGTGCCAACCAGTGATAGTATTTTCATCATTGGTGCTTGCAAAGTGATAAATGATAGAATGTTTGAACTTTTGAGATTATTTTTATTTTATTTAATTTGTTAGATGCTTTGGCACATAGTGAGATAGTAAGTTACCCAAATTTTCCACACAGCAACAGTTTTCAAACTTTAGGGACGAATTTGCTGTAGAAATTCTAGCAGTAATTTTATTATAGCCCTAACTGCTGCATTTTTAATTAAATGGGTAGGGAATGGAAACTTTCTCAATGAATCTTTTGCCGTTAGTGGGATTGATATCCTTGATGTTGGTATCAGCATTATGTATATGCAGCCAACTTGCTCAATATTTTATACTGCCTTTGTTAATGTTACTATCTGATCTGAGATGGTAGTTAATAAATGATAAATATTTTAGCCCATTTGCAGTATTTTTTTTAAATCAGGGCAGATTTGGTATTAAGAAAGCCTTTATACTGTCTGTTTTGTAAATTTTGGGGGTGTGTACAAGATATTTTATCTGAAAGATTTGTTATTATTTTAGTGATTTTCTAAAAAGCATGCTGCCATGACAGTGAATGATATTGTAGTTCTTATGCCCAGAATTAGCACTTTTACATTATAGGGTTTGATCTCAGTAAACCATGTCTGTAAAGCACATAGTTATCATTGATCCTCTTAATTAACAGGTACATTCCTCCTGTTCCATTGAATCTGGCTTTGCAGTAGATCATTACATTAATTGATCGTAGTATAAGTTACAGTATGTAGATTTTCCACATTAGTGCAAGACTGAGAGTTGAAAGATATGCTATTTTAAAAACTAGCATAAGTATGTAATGTCTCAAAGTACTCATTTTAAATTATGCGCTCAGATTTTTATTTTTTTCCAAAATTGATGTGGAATCATTTGTCTACCTTCTGGACTTGTAAAGCTGTGCCGTATAATCTCCTATTGAGGAGACCTAGTTTTAAGCATATACTGTATCTAAAGCTAAAAAAAAAATATACAGAAATCTTATGCGCTGTGCTTCAGCTTGCCTTCCTTTGAAAGAATGAGTTGAAAATATATCAATTAAGTGTATTATTTTTTGATGAGGTTTATGCAGTCTGCCTACATTCTGCCTTGCTCTTGTTTTGTTGTAACAATGGACTACTTAGGTATTTAAAGTAAACTATCTTTTGTAATTTTAATCTAAAAATCAAGTTTGTAATTTTGTTAATTCAAAAGTCGATTATGTATTTCAGCAACTTTAGAATCTCACATATCCAAATGAATGATTTTCTTGATCTTCATAGATTGATAAGGAACATTTTTTTCCCTTAAGATACTGAACTTTTTGATACCACATTTTTGTGTTCATTAACGAAAGTTGTAATCTATATATGACTGATGGCATGCATATGATGGACTTCATATCTTTGTTCCTCTTTTTAGGATATAAATTTTGGACCAGTAAGACTTTGGTTTCTTTTGAAACAATGAAATGTAAGGAACCATGCTATGTTTTATAAAAGTATTATTACTTGTGTGTTTCATTCATAAGTTTAAAAAATTGTATTTGTGTATTGCCATTATTAGAAGGTTGACGTTTGCATTCAAATTGATTTGTAATGCATCATTAAGAGAATTATATCTAATAAAATTGATGCTAATGTTTAGAGTTCTGTTACATTAATTTTCTTGCATAACCATTGAAAGAGACAGTCTTGCTGTTCACAATTTACAAGAACAAATCAACACATTTTGGGTTTGGTTTATAGTTTTGTAGTTTCGGAACTACCTACGACAAGACTTACTCTGTTTTTGTTTTGTTTTTCTATCTATCTATCTATCTATCTACCTTTGCAAAAAGGTGTTATTCATCTCATGAGTTAGCAAGGTAAAACAATCAGACAAAAGAGCACAAGCTTAAGTTAAATAATTTATGTACTTCAAATAACTTTCAGTGAATACAAGGCGACTTCAGTGACATAGGTGTGCATGATCTTACTTTCATTGACGTGAAGCATTCCTACTTTTCTTTCCAAAGTAAACCCCCACCTATAGCTGTATTTCAAACATACATACATAAGGTACATGATGTATACTTGCTGAGCCGAAGAACAGCCAGCAGTGAAAGTGGCTAGACCTCAGATAACCAAATTGGCGCTGTCAATCCTAAGTTAAGTCACCCGCCTAGCTTTAACCATTACATATGCACTTACAATAAAACTTAATTGTGAAATAACCACAAGCAAAAATAAGTTGTACAATCGAAATTATTTAAAAAACTGAATAAAGTGCGGCTTAAAATCTTACACCTACAGAGTTGAATAAAACTATTAGTAATGGGGCAAAGCCCAAATTTTCAACCAAACCAAACCAAACTTCTAAATAAAAAAAGAAAACCAATCCAAACCGTGGTCTAATGAACCTTGAGCAAACCTGTAAAATTTGAAGCAAACCCAAACCTTCTAAAGCTTAGCGCAAAGCCAGGAATGATGCTGTTGTGGCAGTGAGAAGAATTTAGCACATTGATTTAATTTAAGATTTCAGTGGATGGAATAGAGTGAAATACGGCATGACCTTTTGTTTAAACGGTTCAAGGTTCTCTTCCCGAAGTGAGAAAAAAAGCTGGTTCGTTGTAGAACAGGTACTTTAAAACCAGAACGGTATCAACTCGAGTTTCACCACTCGACCCAAACCAAACCGATTCTGTTAGGTTGGCAAAACAGGTTCGTTTTCAGAACAGTTTGCCCTATCACTAAAAATAATAGGTACCTTTTGCATTTTGTAACTAAGGATCAACAGTGAGAAACTCTAAAAATGTGAGTTCTTGAGATCTGAGTATATGTACGTATGTACCATTTTCAGTCTTTCAGTGCTTTCATAGTAATGATAAAAATTTTCAATAGTAAAATATCACAATAAGGACGGATGTGTGCAAAATACCATACAATAGAGTAGCAATAGCTCACTCCTACCTGAGAGTAAACTTTTAAAGCTGAACTGGAGCATGACAAAGGGGACAATTGTCTCGGACACTTGCATCATTATAGGAGGCAAGATGTTTGCAGACATGACATGTCCACATATTTGACATGCTGGTTAGTGGTCGACCTGTGGCTGTGCATGCAGGAAATCTTGTATCACAGCTTGGGCAAGCCCAACTCCTGAATCAGAGATTAGAGTATTGTTGAATTAATTTTTTCATAAAAATTAACGAGAAAGTAGCTACATAGTTTTACAGCGTACCAGTCCTGAACAACACTTCCACAGTTGCTACATTCAGCTCGTGTACCTCGGGGATCCTTAGGAGTGTATTTTGTAAAAATGTCAGTGGCAAGCTCTTCATACTCTTGTCTTCTTTCAGTGGGTATCTGAAATCAGTTGATGTTAAAACACCTAACATACGTCAACTAAGGCAACTAAATGAAAAAAAAATATATACCTTTTCCAGAGATTCAAGTTGTATGAAAGCCCTTGAACATGTACCGAATGCCCTGTTGGCACAACTTGCTAGAGCAAGAATACAAAATATGTCCTCAGGGTCTAGGATATCTTCATAATCCTGGAGATGTAATGCTGTTTTCATAGCAGCATCAACTGATCCTAAAATAAGTATTTGTAATATAGCGAAGCATGTCTATTTTCCATCTTAATTTCATGTACCATATTTGGTTTTGATTCAAAACACCTTCATAAAGCTGTTTCTGTGCAAGCATGAGGAAGTGATAAGCCTCAGCACCACGCCAAGCATTATCAACAATTTTGGAATCCACTTCCAGATTGTCATCTGAGTCAAATATACCCATCAGAGCCTTGCTTTTACCTCCTGTCATTTTAAAATGAAAAGTAAACAAAAAATGAAATTGACAGACAAATTAGTCGGGAGAACTACAGAATTAAACAAAAATTAATTGCATTACCCGCTGCACCAGGATTGAGTTGCTTTCTATGAGTATTGTGTTCCTCTACAAGCAAGGCCGCCAAAACATTAAGCTTCTTAATTCTTAAAGGGTTTGCTTTTTTCTGAGCTTCATTTTCAGCCAACTAAGGATTTAATTTAAAAAAAAAAAAAAGAAGTTTAAAAAAAACAAAACAGAAAAACATAAGAATGATTGAAAAAATTGAAAACCCACCTGGTAGAGCAATTTTGCAGCAGAGAGGAAGTGATTAGCTTTGCGGTAAAGCTCAACAGCTTCCATGATACGATTCTTTTCTAATAAATGTGTTGCATACTTTGCAAGTAAATTGCTTATTTCAGGTAACTGATATAGTCTTGCCAGCTCAACAGCCTGGTCCCATTGATTCAAATGTACACACGTGTCCACTGCCACCTTGACAGCACCCAGCTGAAAATCAACTTGATGGGTACTACATATGGTATTGATTATGCTCTGTTAAGAACAAGCAATAGGCTTCTTACCTTAATATAAGCAGAAACAGCTTGAGAACACATTCCAACTGAAGAAAACATATTTCCAATAGTTGACAAAAGTGGATGTTTGTCAGTAAGATTTGCAACACTTGTTTCCAAGGCACCATAGTCCTCTAGCATGTAATAACACTTAATGAGCTTTTCCTGGTTCCGTCCTTTTTCATAATACTCACGAGCTCCCTCCCTAGAAAAAAATCTGTTTTTAAATTTTGCCATTATATTTCATTAGTATATGTATTTCTACAACAACTTGTAACAAAACCGAAAGGAAAGTGTGTGACAACCTTACCAATTATTTCTGTCAGCAAAGTAGTCACCAATGGAATTCCAAGCTACTTCCATTTGGACATCTGACCCGCCCGGACCCATTTTCATGAGCTGCACAACCCGAAATGAATCTCCAAGAAGCTCTCTTAAAGCAATAGCTAGATCTCTGGTTCAAAAAAGTGGAGAAAGTAAATACATAGATAAATATGTGATGTGAAATGAATTAACACAAAAACTAAGTCTTTGAGTAAATACCTCCTATCTGCTTCCAAGTATAATTTTTCAGCTTCATCAAAGTCTTTAAAGTAGGCAGCAACCTCAGCCTTTTTCAGCTGATCACTATGGATGTTTGTGAGACGTTTAGTAAATTGTATACCAGCATAATCACTGCACCTGACAAATGCTGCCTCCGCTGTTGCTAAATCCAACTCCTGAATGGCAGCTTCAGCAAGAAGTCGCCTAATTGAAGAAAGTTTTACAAAATTTTAACAAATATGGATACAGTCATGTGGATATTTGACTGATTTTGATTAGAATATGAAATTTAGTACCATAAACGAGGATGAGGGTTGTCCTCAATAAAAGTTGTGGCTTCTTTTATTCCAACTTTATTGAGGAGCTGACGCGTGTCTCTCAAAGATTTAACTTCCAGATCAAGGAGGTGTTCTGCATTTGGTTCATCAGGAGTTTGCAGGAGCTCATCAAGAAGAACTGCTCGGATCTCTAGATCCTATCAGCAGGAAAGATAAATTAAAATTACAATGAGAAAAAAAAATGAATTTGAAGTTTGAAAAGAACTTTTATGAGTATGCTGTACCTGAAAACTGCAGATGTATCCTGAACTGACAATGGGCTCCTCAGGATCAAGCCCCCTCAATACATACATTCTTGTCTTTTCCATGATTGCCAATAAGTCTGGATTGTCCAAGGCCCACTTCATTGCCCAAACATCTTTCCTCTCAAACTTTGAAAAGAGTTGTGAGTTGGTTTCCCCTACCACTGTTTCATTGACTGGCTGGCTGTTAGCTATTCTATTGTTGATAGACAAGCTTCCAGCGCCAAGGTCAGTTTCCAAATCAACAAATGTCAAGACACCAGTGATATCTATCACTGCAAGTTTCCTACACAGTATCAACATTTTATAAGTCCATGAATGAGTTGTTAAATGTAGACCTATTCATTTAGGAGAACCAAAAGAGGCCTTACGTGGTGTTACAATTGATGGATAGTTCATATGGCCGACAGCTAAGTGTGTAGCGATTTGTAAGAGCTACTTGAGGTAATGAATACCTTTGGAGCATCCCAGATTCTCGACCAACAATGAGAGCCTTGTCAGATGCTGCTAAACAGCAGATGGGATCTGAGGTGGCCTTCAAAGGGAAAGGTAGTAGAGTGAAAAATAACTTTAAGAATATGTGAACAGAGTATAAAATTCTCAGTGAAACTTACTTGTGTATTGGTTGGTAGCTGAAATAAAATATTGGTGTTAAATTTTTAGCACATAAAATGTTAAAAATTGTATACAAGGAGGAGATGCGATGATGAGAATTCTTACCTCAAAATTACGATCCAAATCTTGAATCACTTCAGCAACCCCTGAAGGTGTATCATCAATATGATAAATTCTATCCCTGCGCTGCCGAGCTCCTTATTAAAAAAAAAAAAGTAAATAAATTTAGTTCTAAGCACTACAGAAAAATCGATTACAAAAGGATAGCTTAAAACCTGCAGAATGTTGAGAAGTGTGTAATTTAGGAGCTTTGAAGTGCCACAGTAAAAAGTTGTCTCGAGATGCAGCAAATACAAATGTGGAGTTCATGGCCAACCACATGGGTTCAAAGTTAATATACTTTGCTGAAAAGTTAATAACCTTTACAATGTTGCACTAACCTTTAGATAGAATAAAATAAAGTGACATTTAAACTAATACGTACTATCAATCGGGGTGCTTATAGCATTACATAATACAAGGCAAAATCCTCCCTCCACACTCTGATCTTCGGCTTTTGTTGCCAATACACAATGGTCTGAATAGGATGTCACACCTAGTAGTGCCTTGACACACTTGCTGTAACACTATACACCAAAAGTGTTATAAAATTTCCTCATTGACAATATAACACCCCAAAATAAATTACCATGTACATTCAAAAAATTGTAATTTTTTACCTCATTGTTTTTTGTATCCCAAAAGACAACATGGGTACCAAAACGGTCTGGCTGGTTGTGTGAGTAAACCACAGTCTGAGCTACATAACACCACTTATAATCAGGCCTGATGTTTGCAAAGTATATGTATGAGTCAACAGCAAGGGCTACACGAAGGGATCCACCTTCCCAAACACAGCTTGTAACTTCACGTCCTGGGATCTTCAGGGTACGAAGGTGCTTTAAAAGTAAGAAAAAAATTATAAAAGGCATTAAAATATATTACTAATGGAGGTTTATCTCGGTGTGTTTCCATTATATTTACCTCTCCAAAAGGAGTAAAAAATTGAATGACATTACAGTCCTTGGTATCACCAGCAAGGGTCATCATTCCTGCCACTGCTAAAACAGTACCATTGTGGTTCCATCTACAGCAAACAACCGTCATTCCTGTATCAACAATGATAGGACCTACAACAGATCAATACAATGAAACTTGTAACACCTCTCTGATAACTTTCAAAAGGAGATTATCAATATAAACATACTTTCATCTGTTTCATTTCGCATGATCTGCATGGTGCCATTAAAGTAGCAAACAACTAAAGCAGGACAATCCTGTTCTATGTAGCCATGACGCCCATTATACCAGTCCAGACCAACAACTTGGATAGCGGCAGATCCACCACCCACAGCAGCACACTGAATGTTCACCTTCATCTATTGTAACAAACAGATCTTCAGTACAATTTTTTTCTTTACTTTGCAGAAAAAAAAGAAAATAGGCTTCACTTCTGAATCATACCATAAAGTTTCCTTGGCTGTCATACACATGTACTTCACCGTTTCGTAAACTAAACAACAATAATCTTGAGTCAGGAGACCATTGGACACCAGTCAATGCTACACCTTTCAGCTCTTTGCCCCAAATACGGTTTCCATCCACTGAGCCAACAATGACAGCTCCTGTAAAGGATTTTCAAGCAGATAAATTTTTTTGAAAGATTCATTATTATTATTATTATAAAAATGACAGTTTTCCATACAACCATACCATCTTCATAAGCTATGCAGATTCTTTGACCATCTGCATTCCAGGCCATGCCTTTAACAACTGATTTGTTTCGGTTATTTACCATTTCTTCATACCAAGATCCCTGAGTTGATGTAAAGAGCCCAATGATTTACAAATCACTACTGTATTGAGACTGGTTTCCAAAACTAAGTAAAATAAAATACCTTATACAGCATCCAGACAATTATCAAACCGAATTGGTCACTGGTTGTTAGCTTTTGATGAATTTCATTCCAGGTGATAACTTGAATTTGCCCATTGTGACCTTCTAGTGTTTGGTTCATGGATAGGTTGGCAGGTGCAGCAAGACCTTTTACTTTTCCTTCTTTGCCTGTTGGAATAAATTTAACAATTATTACCCATTTAATGTTGGTGAGAATATGTTCAATGAATGACCTCGCCCATTCACAGTGATACGAGATATTTTACAAAACTTACCAGAGTCCAACTTCAGCACTTTTAGTAAACCATCTTCTCCTCCCACAGCAATAAACCCTTGATTGCTGCTCCATGCAAGACAATTAAGCTTTGTGTTGTTGGGTATTGCAATCTAGAGAAAATAAACAGATTACTTTTGATACTGCTCATAGTGTGAACATAACATTGACTTATATCATGCTTTAATCAAGTGCTGATACGAGACATGAATGACAGCCTCCAGGCAATAAATAAGAAATAAACTCAATAATTATTAAAATATCATTACATTGTTTTCCCTAAGGTAAGGTTTGTGTACATTTTGTTATGATGAAGACACATCAAGAAGTGGTTTTCATAGAACTAACCTTTTTACTCAAGTAGATAAACATATTGTAATTCTATTTTTATAAATTATTTTTTATTTAATTTAAATTTCTTGGTTTTGAAGCCGATTTTAAAGAATGCACCTCTGGCTTGGCAGTTTGAGTTTGTTTACATTTTGAAGGATCACATTCCTTAAATGTCAACCACCGCCACGACAGTCAGGCAAGCCGCGCCGCGCCACCATGATGCCACTTCACGAACAGAAAACCAAGAAATTAGTGTCGGACTGAAATGTAACTGTGGCAGTAATTACATTGAATTTATTTTAATTAGGTTCGTTTCGTAAATCAACAGTAAGAGAGTATTGTCGCAAAGTAGGTTTGCTATTATTTTGCAGCAGAAGCCATTTTTGCCGCACCAAAATCTTCTCATACCTAATTGATTTTCTGGTTTCCAGGAGTTTGGTGATAACTTATAGAGTCTTGTTGTCATCGAACATATCCCATTTTGTCTTTCAATCATTTTGAACCTAAACAACGATGAAATTAATATCCTAGCACCGATCATTAAGATTTTAGTGTTGTAATGTTGTCAGTCTTACCCCCCCCTTCTTCCCTCTCCCTCCCCCCTTCTACCCTTCTACCACGACTTCACGACTGCAGCAGCAACAACCGCAAGGTGCGGTAGTGGTATCTAGTTGCACTTGCTTCCTTGCTTCAGGGAGGGCGACAGTGACAGCAGCTCTCGCAGAGGTGCCGTAATTACCGTGTAACCATGACCGACACGACAGCGGACGCAACTCGGCGCCTCAACGTGAAAAAACAGACACTGGACGATGCATACGCCGCCCCAGCAAACTTCCTGGAAATCGACGTGATAAATCCGCTAACGCACGGGGTCGGCAAGAAGCGCTACTCCGACTACGAAGTCAGGATGCGGGTAAGGGACCTGTGCGTTAACCGCTTTCTGGAATATTCGGCCTCGCTTGCTTTCGCCTTTCTCTCTGTTTTTAATTTTTACGGTGGATTTCTTCCTGAGTTTTTGAAACATTTGAGGTTTCCATTCATTTCGCCCTTAAGCCATTTTGAACGAAGTGTCAAATGTCATGTTAGAGGTTGACGGAAGGGGGAGGATACTGCATTGTTATGGCTCTTTATTTGAGTCCCTCTTTGCTTCATCAACTCCTTTCCTGAAAATGTTTTTTTTTCTGAAAGTGGGCCTGTGGCAGGTGGTTTCTTTTGAGCCTTAAGTATATCTGGTGATGTCTCATAAAAATGTATTGGTGTATGCATAGGTTATGTTTTAACAAACCGGGACTGACTCACCTAACATTTTCAGTTCCTGCTCTTCTGAATCTATAATTTTTGTCATATCATTTATTTCGTCACTGATCCACACATAGCAGGGAAATGTTTCTTGTTGTATTTTATATTTTCTGTTTGCAACAAGTTGTTATAAAGATGGCTCACTCCAATGACAGTTAATCATGCTGCTCTTTCCTTAATACATACTGTCCATTCATTGTGAACATTTTGCCTTTCAGACTAATTTGCCTGTATTCAAAGTAAAGGAATCCAGTGTAAGGAGAAGGTACAGTGACTTTGAGTGGTTGAGAACGGAACTTGAGAGAGATAGCAAGGTAATTGTTTCTCCTATACTTCACTTATTGTTTATTCTTGCAACTACATTCATTTTAGTGTTAAAAGTACCAATCACTTTGTATCATCGCTGTAATCCTATTGTGCAGATTGTTGTCCCTCCTCTACCTGGTAAAGCGTGGAAGAGACAGATGCCATTCCGGGGTGATGATGGTCTCTTTGAGGAAGACTTTATTGAAGACCGAAGGAAAGGTCTTGAACAATTTGTGAACAAGTATGTTTAACATATGTTATGCATCAAATTATGTGGTCTTGAGACTTTTGTCATATGTGTTGTAATTTTTCAGGATTGCTGGTCACCCCCTTGCGCAAAATGAGCGATGTCTTCATATGTTCCTTCAAGAACCTGTAATTGACAAAAACTATGTTCCAGGAAAGATACGCAATACTTAAGTTTGCATATTTCAGCTTACTGTTGTACTGCGTTAAATACAGCCACATATAATTAAAATGATCCGTACTGATTTAGAGTGCAATGGGATGTATGTTGCATTTGTTACCTTGGTATGATTCTTTTATCTAGAGATATGCAGTCACATTCATGCCTTTTATTTGCCTTGTCTGAAAGTTTATGAGTTGTTGATGAAGATCAAATGTTGCCGGCTAACATTTGATTAATTTGTTTGCCAGAAGTCCATGTAATGGACAATGTGTGTTAAAAATAAATATCTTCTTAATTTGAAATTTCAAATTTTGCTTCAAAGATTGCATTATTGTTACTTTGATAAGGTATGAGAACATCTGTCTGGTAGCTTGTATCCATGGCTCAATGTAGGTTTATTTTAGCTATCTTGGTAACAAGGAGTGGACTGCAGTGGGATCATTTTTATAGAGTTTGGTAGCTTTGACTTCTACTTTACATTTGAGTTGAGTTACTCTCTTTGCTGAAAGTTAAAGAAAGAATTGTATGGATGATGAAATACGTAATTTTATATCACAAATTTTCAAAATGTTATTCCTGTGTCACTGTTAACTTCTAGCTTTCCTTTTTTTTCTTTTCTTGATTTTTCTAAATATTCAATTTACTCTGTGATTTTTAATGCTAGAGCATAAAATTTATTATTATAATACATTTTAGTTTCAATGATCTTTAACATTCTTTTAAGGACTTGTTCTTTCGTCATTTTTGATTTTTGCAAATTTGTACAACTAATGTGAGGATTATAAAACATTTAACTGATTTATCATTCAGTCATTGTAGGGTTCTTTTCATCCTGGGTATTTCAAATCTATGTTTGCCATAATTACCAGACAAGTTATGTCTCCCTACATTTTTCATTAACGCATTAGTCTTCTTTTGCAAATCTAATCAATTGCAATCATAATGAGTTCCTTACACTTGTAGATCTGTACATCTTCAGTTAAATGTTAATCATCAAAAATGCATTTATTATATGTAGACCTTGTCATATACTTGTGTATAATGTGTGATATTTGTGAAATATGTCGTACATAATTATGAATTTGTGAATTCATGGAAGTTTATACCAACTATTACATACTCTATCTTCCTATCTACACCTTTTGATATCAGATCAGTAAGGTTTGATTAGTATAGTGGGTGTAGAGAAGTCTGTGTTTATATGCGCGTATTTTTGAAATATTGCATCCAAATTGGCTTACCATACTTGCCAAAGAGCAGATAAACTGTTTGAGAAGGTACTCTCGATTTTAATTTTGAATGTATTGACCACTGGCTTGAATACATCTGCAATGCAAATTCAGAATGATAAACAATATTTCAGTGTCTTCAAAAACCCTAATAAAGGTACCAGTTTAAAAATGTAAGCTCCTACTTGCGAAACCTGTGTGATGCGTTCATCGTACTGATTTACTCTTAGTTCATTTTAGAGCTTCTTTCTTTACAAAAAAAAAAAATTGTTTTTGGTTTTTTCAAGTATTTTGTTCATTTCTGAAGGAAGTGTGGAAGCTTATGTACACTTGTCTGCGGTCTCTGCTATACAAAAATGTTGGAGATCGGTTGTAATTAGGGGGAGAGATGCCATTTTTTTCCTGGCTACTATGCTAAATTAATTTGTTGATTGTTTTTATGCAGTACCTTTTGAGATGGATGATAATGCTTAGTATAGTAATGAAATGTTGATCATTCTATACTCAGATGATGAAATAAGTGAAATGTATGTATATGTATATATTAAGATGAAACTTTGAGACAACTGTGTCAGATTATTTTGAAATATCCAAAATGTGAATCATCGTTGTACTGTCATTTTTATGGAATACACTTTATAATTATAGATTGTGCAGGTTTAATCATTCTATTATCACATTCAGTTCCACATGACAGGACACATTACCACATATATGGTCATAATACCATGACCATTTTAATCCCCCCCCCCCCCCCTGATTCACTGTGTTATGAAATGTGAATACATTGTGAATGTAAATATGTTTGGATATAGTGCGGTACTGATCAACGGTTTTTTCCCCTGGCTGATAGTTCTTATTGAGTTCTACCTTACCAACAAGTTCAGTTAGGACCAGTTCTTTGTGAAGTGGCTTATTTGAACTAAATCTGAGTGCTGCAGTTTTTCTTCAGCACACCCTAGGAAGGAGGGCCCCGGCTACAATTACATTTAAACTTTTATTTTTATTTTTTAGAGTTGTCTATAATTCAGCAATTGATTAGTTAGCAAAAGATCAAAATGTCTGATTTGAGATTTTGTAGGTGGAAGACACTGATCCACTTATCATTTATATTGAAAATGGAAGTGGAAGCTGGGCAAAAAGAAAGGAGGAGGAAAGGTGCTGGTGACGGCGACGGGCGGGAAGTGCTGGGGCGAGGAGTATAGCTGAACGGGTCAACGGGTCCTGCTGCCTGCGCCTCCCTCCGACAGAGCGCAGTGCAGTATGGCTGGAACATAGAGCCCATCACAGAGCTGGCGGCAGCATGGAGTAGCGCCGCTGCTGACGTCATGGGAAGAGTGGGAGAGAATAGCCGAAACGGCGGCGGAGAGATAGGAGGATCTCACACGCGAAATGAGCACACTTCTCTCCGGTTCCGACGGGAAATGCTTGGCGGCACCACGTAGCGACTGACAGGAATATGTGCCTACTTCTGTTGTGCGTGCAGGGAATCGTTTCAAATAGGCCTAGTCGAACGGTAACATTGTGGGAGACGGTGGAGGAGACGGTTACATATAGAGAGGTGCACTTTTGGGTCAACATTTTTGGCCTGGTTTTCTCAAGTCATCAAGTCATCGGCCCGCGAATGCTACACCGATAACCGAAGTGTATGAATGTCGCACACTTGAAGGTGTGTGAACGCCATTCGTACACACGGAGCCGCGCCGCAAGTGTGAATTTCAACAGGAAATTCACACCTTTACTTCCTACTATACTACTTCGTACCGGGCGATTCAGAGAAGACGCAGGTGCGGGCGGGTTTGCCTATCCTAGACTCGGCGCGCGCGGCGCACAGGTCCCCTTCTCACCTCTCCCCAGACCTCCTGGACCCGTGCGCCCGCCGAGTCTAGGATAGGCAAACCCGCCCGCACCTGCGTCTTCTCTGAATCACCCGGTACTTACTAACGGGCACTCACACACTTCCAACTTCGCGTTTCCAGTGTATAATTTCCAGCGGCTGTCTCGAGTGGTTCCCCCGCTGCTGCTGCTGCTGCTGCTGCTGCGCCGCTGTGGCAGCCTCGGCAGCGACGTGCGCAGCGGGGAAGCACCACGGCGCGTGCCGCGCGCCGCACAAAGAGTTAAGCTGACGAGATCACGACCCCGACGGGGGAACGATAGGTGTCCCCCTCCAGGCTCGTTTTAGGGGGTTTTGCGGAAAAAAGGTGCCGATTACCCTGCTCGAGGTACTGTCGTTTTATTCATCCATTCTTCTAGTTACTAACCAGAGAGGGGGGGGGGGGGCTCAGCCACTATTAGTGTCAACGACACACACACACGCTCGCGTTTGCACCGGCGGCAGACAATACCTCCCCCCTCCCCTCCCCAGTTTCCCCCTGCCACCGCGGATGAAATGGCCAGACACATAATGCGATCTGAATTCGATTTTCGAAATCGGTCTTTTCTCCATCGTTTATTGCCCTGGTAATATTACGAGGGAAGGCGAGCAGAGGATGTTTTCGTCCCTCATTATATGTGCGGCACTTTTTTTTTTTCGGTCATGCAAAAGAAACGACAGGGAAAAAAGGGAAAACGGAACGGTGAGCCACTTTTGGAGCACTGCGACCTACTAGTGACGCTGAGAGATTTTTATATACCGGTACTGTACGAGACCGTACACCTTTCTTGGGTTGTTTTGGAATTTGTCTGTATCGGGCCTTTGTAAAAGATGTTGACATTGCGCAAATAAAGGTGCTTAGTTTTAGTACCGTTTATGGTACTTAACTACACCTGCTGCAATGTTAGTTAACACATTGAGTCCCAGGGGGGGTGGGGTAAACACGGGGTACTGTGACCACGCCTGTGGTCACGTGAGACGCAACGTGTTAAGAGACATACTTGTTCAAACCATATATTCTGGACTTAAGTTATGCCGGATTCTTCTTATTCATTGACATTGTTACAATGTTCCATTCATTCAATCATTAACATTTCAGAACAAAGATAGTATCCAACAAAGAACCCACCACACCGGATCAAAACACCTCAAAGTTAGAAGGGACTCGTCGCAGTCGTTGTGGGACGTCCCTTCAGGGAAAGTGTGCTCACTGCGATCCTCATACCGTACCG